GTGTTCTTTCTGCTGTAACTAATTACACATTAAAGACTCGCTATGACCTGACACAGTGCAAAAGTAATTTTTGATATTGGATAAACGTGTTTCTCGGGAACTTTACATTCTTCTCTCTCATTTTTACTTCAAACCTTCCAATTCCATAAATCATTTGCATTCCTAACGGTTTCATGAAAAAAACTTCTTTTATTTCCAGGAACTTAAGTGCTTCTCTTCATTTATTTAAATCGTATTCATTGAACTGAATAATATATTTAAAACTAATTGCAGCATTGATAATAATTAGTATTATTATTGATAAAAAAAGTTTTATTAATTTTTCATTTGAAACATTAGGTTTTTTATTGGTTTGGAATAAAAAAAAATATAAAAAAAAAGATCAAGTCTTCTTTGATGAACATATAAAAAGTAAGAAGAGAATCCAACTTGCCAATATCTTTAAAATGTTTACCATTGTTTCTAATAATATTCCGTTTGTCAATATTCAGTCAAAATTAATATATTAAGTAATTATGTAAGTAATAAAGTTTTGTTTTTTTAAGCAATGAATGGTCAGAAAAACTTTTAATTTGTTTGTTTTTCCTTCAATTTCTAGTATTAATCCTTAGTCTTGATTGTTTGGAGAAGGAAATTATAAAGAGCTGAATAAAAATCAGGAGACGTCTTCGGAGATTTGAAGTGGAAGGAAAAGTACAATTTTTTAAAGAAGGACCAGAACCATGTCGGAGATGATGTCAGGCAAAGACAGTGTAACATGACGGGTGCAGTCGCGCATGAGATTCCCTGACGTGGGAAGATTAAGGGCGGCACTTCTTTTTATTGAGAGGAAGAACTCTAATAACTGCTTCCTTATGATCAGCAAGCTTCTTCTCCGACGGTGGGCCTTGGCTCCTCGAGAGCACCAACACCGTCATTTGGAGCACACAAATATATCTTCTCCGCTGGAGACCTCTACCGTCTCTCTTCGCGGTCCAATCCGGGCTCACCGAATTTTGGAAGCATAGTTGCACCGTGGAGCGTAGTTGCAGCGTAGTCTATTTTAGATCACCATCGCAATCAATATGAATCTCGTTAACGCCAAAAATGAAGGCAAAATGCAGTGCAGCCTCATTTCCAATCTAGAGAAGAATTTCAAGTTGAAATGTCAGGAGTGGAAACTGCAGAGTGACCTGTACTTCAAAGAAAAGGAGAACGCAGTAAAGTTAAAGTAATAGCCGAGGTAAAATAAAATTAACAACTTAATAGCCGGTGCGTGTAAACACAACGTCTTCTTCAGTTAATTATGAAGTAATAAAATTTACTGCGGTGTTCCTCAGGATAGTGTTTCTTGACTCAAGAAATGGAGGATTAAAGCCATCGAGAGCAAGTCTGTGTATGTGACATTTACAATGCGCCGACAGACGTGCCCACCGATTGCTCTCAACAATAACCCCCTACCACAAGCTGATGGAGCCTAGTAACTGGGTATGCGCCTGGACCGTAGTCTCACTTGGAAGAATCACATAAAGTTTAAAAGGAAACTTCTGGAACTTCAGGTTGAAAAATTGTACTGGCTACTTGGCAGAAATTTGGATATCACAATTGATAACAAGATACTGATATATAAAATATATAAATTATGGGGGTCATGTAACACTACTATCGATGTAATCCAGAGGTTCCAATCAAAGACGCTGAGAATAGTCAACGTGCTACCGTGGTATATCACAAACGATGATATCCATTCCTACACCGACACCAAACTAGTGAAGGAAGAGATAAGTAAACGCTAATTATCAACACTGGCTGGATATTCACCCAAACCCCTTGCTGTGGAGATGACTAACAGAGAGAAACTTCGCCGAAGATTGAAGCAATTCAAGCCCCAAGACCTACCAAATCGTTTTTTGAATAAGTAGTTTGTGAGTGCGTGTTTTTATTGTGAGTTTGCCTTTAAAGTCATTATGTTAAGATTTGTTACTGGACCAATCCCATGACTTTTTTTATATTTTTTGTTTTATTTTAATTGTCACCAATCTTGTTCATTACCCCATGTGAGATAGATCGCCGGATAATAAAGGGAAAAAAAAAAGTATTTACTTTATAACAGTTAAGAAAATCAGTTTATGTATTCGCCTGAGGCCAACGATTTTGCGGCTTTAAGGGTGGAAACATCTGTGACGAAATTGACCCAAGTCGAATATTCGAACCCTGAAAAAAACTACAAACCATTTAACCATGTAACACGACACAAACACCTCATCAAACAATAAATTAATTGATTCGAGTTGCGAAAACACATCTTATTTTTCTTTTCGGTCTAAATCTGTATTGTCTGCAGCGGCTTTCAAATGCGATTTGCTAAATCTTGTTTTGCTTTGTTTGCGGAGCTCCGGAGGAAATTAAAAGAAAGTGGGATTTTACATGAAAGACGATTAGCATTTGGATTTGATGAATTTGTATTCCGACCGTTGGTGGGATTTGCGAGGTGGGCAGCAAATAATTCGATGGGAAACAAAGAAAAGAAAGAAAAAATATATGAAGTGGAGGTGTTCGTGAATAAATGGAAGAATGAGGGGAAAAAAGAAGTGAAATAAGTGAGAAAATGGGAATCGGTTTAATTTATTTGTCTGGAGGACGTCGGCAAAATAAATTATCTCGCGCCCTTTTCGCCCTCATTGTGTTCCCAAACACAAAGCTTTGAGAAATTATTTATACGTTGGATCAGTCTAACCTCCGGACAATTCAATATAATCCAGTTTTTATATCTTACACATGTTTTATACTTTATCGAAAAATATTTTTTATACTGAAATCTTTGCATTTTCCTAATTGGATCTCCATAAGGTATCATAAACATCTCATAATGATCATCATTTGTTATCTCCATCTTTTCCCATGATACACATAAATTACTTCTGATATATTCATTACACAATATCAAATTTATATACAAATCAAATTTTAGTAACAAAATATCTTATTCAGATTCGATTTTATGACGGTTTCTTATAAATTCTTCAAAATATACAAAATTTCGTTTATATCTCAAATTGTAAACTATTATTTAACATCACCAATATCATCAGCATTAATGGCAAAGATAGCCTACCTTTCAGGAAGACAGGGAGAATGTTATATTATGCACATCCTCGTTTCACCACCTCCTTTCCTCAAATATAATCTAGTTGTGCTCGCATCTGCCATTATATTACTATCAATTGGATACTTCAGCAATCATCTGATTTGTTATTACCACAGCAACGCCATGCTACAAGAGAACAAATCTATTAGACAGCATTTTTTTCTTTAAATAAAATTAGCATACCTCATCAACTAATCTAAGCAGCATCCTCAAAAAATAGCCCAAATGCATTTGCCTAGCAGATAATTCCCCTATTCCATAATAATCTGTTCTGTAAGTAAATAAGTAAATAAGTAAATAAGTAAATAAGTAAATAAGTAAATAAGTAAATAAGTAAATAAGT